AATTAGGTAGTCATTATGAAAACACCCATTTCATTCTCTGTTTTCCTCACCTAGGGCTCGTCTTTTTTTCTTCTTGCCATGACCGAAACAAATGAGTGTCAAACGGTTCAAATGGCAGCAAATAAGCTCAAAATGAAAACAAAAGCAGAAAAATAGAATGTTTTCGCGTCAATATGTTGATATTCTTTATAAGGTCTAGAATTGTTAGAATTTCCAGAGACACATGAATTATATATTTGAAAAGGTTGGCAATATTCTTTTTTTGTGAACCTTTACAAGGAAATTTTGCATCGTTACTTCATACATGGACATGTCTAACAATTCTAGGGCCACGAGCCAACTATCGAGCTTCATTAATAGCAGGTTCCCAAATGGGGCACAGAAACCTATAATTAACGCTTGCGCTGTAGTAATTGTATGATTCAGCAGTAAAATTCGCATTGGGATCTCTGAGGTAATAAGACCGATACTGTGTGAATGCAGGATAATTATTAAAGATACAAAATTCATATTTATTCTTCAAAGAAAGAGGTTGATGGTTGGATGTATGATAAAACTTCATGGAAATATGATAGTAGTTGGTACAGTTTTTAAGTTCTAGGCTCAGGTCACTTTTCAGTATGCTTGAATCGAGAGTTGCGAAAATCATCCTCAAATTTGATTATTTCTTTGAAGTTAATCGCTTTAAACTCTGTTTTATACAGTGTGACCTAGGAAGATGCGCCAACTGTTTGCTTTTCAATAAGTTTCTTGTAGTGGTCTTTTGAGAAGCTTTAGGTGCTGGCTTTAACTTAGATTTACAGTGTAGAACATAACGATTGCACTTCATTACTGTAGGATTACGGTAGCCAAGAATATGGCGTCACTGTAAAAGCTGCCATTTCAAAATTTTTTAAAAAAGGTAAAAACCTGTGTAATAGGGTTTTTATAGACGCTGAGTTCAATGCTCAACTATTCACAAAACTGCGAAGCTTTCTAAACGGGGTAACCGAACTTTTTAGAAATAAATAAAGGCCGCCTACTTACCTCGCGTAACCTTTAATGAAGATTATGAGAATTTACGAACTTCACATTTTGGAATCAGCAACTCTAATTGCCCTAATCTGGGAGTTTTCAGGTTTTGTTTCCTTTCAAAGGCAAAATATGGTCTTTCATGGCTCAAAACTCTCTTCATAGTTCCTACCGTAATCCTACAGTAATGGAAAGAACTCGGTAATTCGCTCCAAACCGCAAATCTAAGTTGAAGCCAGATCTACAAAATTGCTTCCAACTTCTCGAAAGACTTCAAAGAGAGTTATTAACAAAATTGAACAAAGTTATTGACAGAAGTAAACAGTAAGCACAATTCTTTAGAACACCCTGTATATTGTACTAATGCAGTCTAAGAAAACGATAGGTTAACTAACAACCAAATCTCTCACATATTCTTCTAAAAAAAGCCGCAGCTCGCTTTTATTAATAGAAAAAGGACTCAAGTGTCGGAAAGAAGATAGAGCTCGAATACATTTTCCTTTTACAAATCTATAGATATTACTATCTCTTGAGATACGGCGGGCATAGTATGAAATGTATTTGTTTTGTCGTGGATTTTTGAAAACTACTCAGGTTTCAACTCACTATATAGCTCTAGCGCGGCATAGTGACCACAATATGTGTTGGGTATTAAAAGAGGTTGCTATCTGGTGCAAACACCAAGTTATTTTAGGTCTAATACGTCATTTCTGCAGTTACACCTGTCTATGCACACATCATCTATTTTTCGGCTAATCAAACCATCGCTGGTACATGTGAAAAAATAAAATTTTTTGATTGTTGACACAAAACCATTGAGAATTTTCCAAACGGAGGAATCAACGAGTTTTTTGAAGAAAAATTATGGTGGAAGGAGAAACTCTTCTATAGCTTCATGGGTTCAGCGTTCCACATGCAGTGTAAATAAAGCGAAAGGGCTTTGCAGCTGTGAAAATGGATAAGCGAAGGTTTTGTCGAGATTTCAATTTGGGCTTTCTTACAAAAGAGGCAATCAGATGAATTATTAGGCCGTTCCAAAATTAAATTCCTTTTTTGGATAATCCAAGCTGTTTTTTTTTCCTAGTAAACTTAGGGTATCATTCGACAGAAAGATTAGGCTCTACAGAATGACCACCAATGATCCGTCTAAGCCGCATCCTATGTAAAGTATGAAGCCAAAGTTTGTCACCTGAAAATTGGATTTTCGCGAGGAAAAGCCCTACAGACCTCCAGCTTGATCATTACACAATAGGCACATAAAGCGAGAAAAAAATAGTCCAAAAATGGCAAACTCCGCCCCCGCTCTTCCCACATATGTCATCGTATACTACAAGCCTTTCTAAATATATTCCACAAAACTTTACCCTTGCATGTGCTCTTATGACCGAGAAATACCAAGTTTTACATAAAAAACCCGAAAAAGTGAAATTTTGGAATTTTTGGACCATCTTTTCTCAATGTCGAGCCCCGGAAAAATTAAACCAAATACTTTTTGGGTACTACTATGTGTCTATTATATAAAGACCAAGTTGAAGATTTGAGGAATTTTCTGGAAGGAGATTCGATTCTTAGGGTAGCTGAAGATTTTTGATTTTTGGTTTCAAATTCTACCTGGGTTACGACTCATGGGCCTTTTTGTAGAGCTTGCTCCGCTTTATCGGATGGTACCCTAAGTATTAAGAAGACAAAAACAGCTCATTTCATTTGAAAATGGAGTTTACTTTTGGGACAACTCAATAATTAGACCGAATGCTAATTTTGGCTTTTATTATCTTTAACAGATTCTTGAGATTATTTAAATTTTTCTGCAGTTCCATCTTCCCCTTCTCCAACGCGCCACATCTGCTTACAATGAATCACTCTCTCCAATGTACATGTTCAAGGTGAATCCTCACTCATAGTTCCTCTTGGCACTGGGCCAATATTTACATAGAACCTGCCAGCGCTCATCGCTTACTTGGCGGACACCATGAGTGCTTGCTCGTCGTGGTCTTCTTCATCGTTCCGCGACAAGCATCGACTGTCATGTGATCATATAAAAATCCGTAAACATTCGAACACATCTTTTTCACATCTTTTTGATTTCAAGGCTGTATTTGCAATTTTTATGGGGTTTTCTAATGATATGCGATGCAAATGCAACACTTTTCCACGAAATATTTTATCTCTAAAAGCTTTGAGGTCAGTGCTTACAAGTATCATAATCGGCTTCCCATATTCTGTTTTCTTCCAGACTAGCATCGATTTCCACATTTTGAAGCGAGTTTTGGATTGTTTCATATTCTTCAGTGTTTTGATTCGGTAGCCATATGCCTTTGACTCTATAAAGCTTAAAATGAACAATCAGAGAAGGTTTCTCTTAACTCTCTAACTGTACAATGTCTCAAATCAAGTTAGAATTCTTTTGAACTTAATACTCTAACAACTGAGTTCTATTAAGAAAACATTATCCAAAAAAATTATCAAAAAAATTATTCTTAATCACACGCTTTTAAGGCGCAGTTTAGAACTATAAAACATTTTTATATAAGAGACTTGAGGACTTAAATGCATTTCCATCAAGATCAGATTACAACACCCATAACAACTTCAAATGTGAAATTCCCTCTGCTCATTTCCATATATGTGGAGATGCAGATGTCGAAAACGCCTTTCTTTGCTACACAAAAAACTTTGCTTTGAACGGTTACAAAACTAAGGTCATTAAGTTTAGCTTGAAAATGAAAGTCAACGCTTGTAGAACAGAATTGGCTCTTTCAGATAATGCAGATATTTTGCCGTAAACCAACCGCTTCACCAGAAAACGACGATAATAACAAAATCGCTACGAACTCAAAAGCAGCGTCCAGGCAAATCTGAAAGGGGGTTCTGATGTGGAAAGTAATTATGGGGCCCTAACTAAGACACTGCCCAAGCGGCAGCTCAAATGGTGAACTCCCAGTTGAGATATTCGCCTCCAAACTGGATCCCGTGATTGTATTCGCATGAAGGGTGGAGGAACGAACACCTCAACTGGTACCGCCTCCGCGGACTATTGGTCCCAACACGATGCATAACAGCAAGACAAAAGGACCAGCAGCCCGCGGAGGCGGTACCTAATTGAGGTGTTCGTTCCTCCACCCTCGCATGAATTATGGCGCAAAGCGTGGGTCCTCGCGCGAAACTGCCATGAACCCATGCGAACACCATCCGGGGCTCCATTTTGGAGGCGCATATTTCAGCCGTTAATGATTCACCAGCGCTGCCGCTTGGGTAGTGCCTTAGGGCCCCAAAATTACCCTAAAAGTGAGACCCGTAGACCTACATACCCGTAGACCCAGATTTGCCTAGACGCTGCCTTTAAGGAACGACGTAATAATTGTTAAAAGGTCCAAAAAAGGGAGAGACCGGAGCTTGCTTTGTAAATCAAGTAATATTTGACTTTCTTTAGGAACTAACTTACAAATTCTACCATTTTCATTATAATCAGTGATTAAAAGCCGTTGTGCTAATTTCTCTAAGAGATCAAACATTTTTATTTTTATTAGTCTTATATTCTTCTCGCATTCTTATGGAAAGGAAAAGGTTGATCAGACCGAATATTATCTGCTCAATTTTTTTGTTTGTGAAAAAACCAGAGGCTAAATTTGTACTCTGGTCATCTCATGGTACGGACATCAGAAACATGCACGTACAGTAGGCTCTCATCATCTCGACTCGCTGTAAAGAGCAAAGTTTCTGTTGATTCGATGTGATTGAATATAAATCGCTGTAATCAATGAGGCGAATCTTTGCATAAATTTCAATAAATTTCGAAGTTCGTACTTTGCTCAAACCAGCAAACCTGTCTGGTAGCATCATTTAAATTTCTCCTGTAAAACTTCACAGCCGGCAATCTACTCTTCAATTTGCATTTTAGCCATGTTTATTGTTCAAGATTTTCGTATTGTTTCCTCTTTCCAAATTTTTTCTTGTTATTAGTTTTACCGTATATGAAATACTGATAATCTAGATATTCTACCTTTCGATGGTTGACAAACTCGAACTGGTTTCGCTAAAGGGCAGAGGTCGAGCTGAAGCCGTAAGGCTTATGCTAGTCTTCTCCGAGTGTCCATTTACGGATACGAGACTCACCATTGCTGAATGGAAACTGAGGAAAAAGAGAGGTATGGAAAGCTTAATGAAGCAACACAAATAGAAATTACCGTGACCCTTACAGAAAATTACAATTTTCACTTCTACATAAATATTTCAGAAAATTCCATGTTCCATTTTCATAACCTACTTTGAATAGTAGTCATCAAAATGATGTGCTAGTTATTTCCTTTCTCTTCTGTAGCAATCCTGCTTCCTCTTAAAGAACCCTTCATAAAATAATACTCCAAATTATAATTTCAATAGTTTTACTTTCGATGTGTTAGGCATCTTTTCAAAAAGAAAAACAAGGTCTTCTAAGGTGAATAGTTTTTTTTTATTTCACTTTCTTTGTGTATTATTATTCATAAATAAACAACCCTGAATTTTCCTTATTTTCAGATGCTTTTGATGAAGAAACGAAACTACCAGTGCTGATCATAGATAACACCTATCGCATCATTGGGGTGTACGAAATATCGAAATGGGTTGCTGAGAAAAATGGTGAGTTTATTAATCTATTATTTAGATTCTCTATTTTTATCGAATTCATTTCGATACTTCACATAAGCAGAAACTCGTCTGATTTGAGCAGTGAATTGTTAGTAATCATCATAATCGATTACGTAGAGTCTTCTGGAGAATTTTGCAGCTTTTTTTGAACTATTGGCAATTCACAGAGAACAATGATAGATAAACACTCGAAATCGTATTCACCAGCCTAACTTCCTCTTTGCAGCAACTATGTTTGCAGAGTGATTCTCTGTTAATTACCTTGTTGAAGACCAAGATTTCGTTCAAATTGCTTGAATTTCGCGAAATTTGAGATCATTCTTTCAGAACTAGCGGATTTGGGTTAAGAGGATAGCGGACACTTTGAAGTGATGTCCTTTATTCGCTCCTCAATCGGCTATCCAGAATTTTCTGAATGCTCATTCCGGAGTTCTTGATTTGAAGCTTTCAAAACTTCCCTACCACAAACTTTGCAGCATAAATGATAAATAAGCTCTTATAGTTTAATTAAAGCAAAATCTTGCTTGCAAAGCTCGCACTTGTAGAATTGAAATTATAGAAAGGTATTTTTGAGCAGTTGATTTTCTGACAGATTTGAAGAGACGAGTTCAGATTATAGCAATGAAAAACTATTTTTGTGAACCTTGTAGTCAGTTAGGATAAGCTCAAAAGAATTATTGTACCGGGAAAAAATTTATCTGAATCATTAAACACCTTTGGAATAAAGGAAAAATAGAAAATTAGAATGAAATAAAATGCCTTTGAATTGCCTCAGAATTCGCTAAAATTTTTGCACAATAGAGTAATCCAACATGATGAACACGAATATCATATTGACGCTAATATGAAAATTCAAATTCCTTGACTTTACGAAAGAGGCCTTTTCATGCGAAACGGGTCTCATTTCTGTGATCACCATGTTAAATAACCCCCATAGACCAAGTTTCAGCAAAATCTGATGCAATCTAAACATTTTTCACTCTACCGTAAAACTACCGTAACCCTTACATAAAATGGCAAAATTCGGCAAAGTTTGCATTCACAATTTATATCATTATCTTAACATCGCCAGATAATTAACGCGTTACGTTCAAAAAGAAAAAGGTTGTATGAAAGTTGCTTTACTTATGTGCCAACCTAATACTTTTAGATAGTCTCATGCAGAAGTAAAATAGACGAAGCTATCCTCGAGGATTATGAAAAGAAATAAATCAAGAAACAACTGCTGAAAAGAAAGAAAAAAGCTTCGCCAGCTCCGTTTAAAGCAATCACCATGTACTTCTTGCGGTTGAGTTTGAGAAATGGTGGCACAAGTTTTCGGAAGAACATAGATTTTTTGTAATTTCTTTTTAAGTTATACCACCTCAAATTTTGAGCAAAAACGGAGCAATTTGCCTATATGTAAAAAATTCAACATGTAAATGAAGTATATATTTGTTAAGATCTTTATGGTGGATTGCCTGGCGAAAGAAAAGATATCGAAGAAGTCATAGCAACACTTGATGAGTTGCATAAAGGACTCGCACCAACACTTCGAGCCACTTTGACCAGGAATTACGACGAAAGGGTAAGTTTTGCACATAAATATTAGGTTGTTACATAAGTCTTGTTACACTTAACTTCTAACGGCGATAAGTCATATATCTCATAGTCTTTGCAGGACTCCAAGGTACCATTCGATAGAGCAAAGCAAGCTCTACAAGATGGTCTGCAAAAGTTCGCACCAGCTCCGACCCACCGTAAGTTTGCACCCAAAATCTGAGTCGTACTGAAATTCAAAAAATCGCGAAAAATTCATATCTTTGTTCAAACAAATCCTACGGATCTCTCTCCAACTTGCTCACAAAAATTGCCCGCTATATCAAACACTCATATGTACCGTTGCTGTATTTTTTCCTTATCTAGAAATCGAGAAAAAGAATTTTTCTAGTTTTTACAAAAACGAAGCTATGCTGTTTCTTTTCATGTAGCTGTATACTACAAGCCCTTAGAAGTATAACCGTAAATTTTCAGCTTTTCAGAAGCTCTAATTTTTGAAAAATACCAAATTTAGCTTTTATCACTCGGGTGTTCAATGCTAAATTAGGTAATTTTCGAAAACTAGGGCTTCTGGGAAGCTGAAAATTTACGCTCATACTTCTAAGAGCTTGTAGTGTACAGCTACATGAAAAGAAACAGCATAGCTTCATTTTTGCAAAAACTAAAAAAAATTCTTTTTCTCGGTTTCTAGATAAGGAAAAAATACAGCAACGGTACATATGAGTGTTTGATATAGTGGGCAATTTTTGTGAGCAAGTTGGAGATCCGTAGGATTTGTCTGAACAAAGATATGAATTTTTTGCGATTTTTTGAATTTCAGTACGACTCAGATTTTGGGTGCAAACTTACGGTGGGTCGGAGCTGGTGCGAACTTCTGCAGACCATCTTGTAGAGCTTGCTTTGCTCTATCGAATGGTACCTTGGAGTCCTGCAAAGACTATGAGATGTATGACTTATCGCCGTTAGAAGTTAAGTGTAACAAGACTTATGTAACAACCTAATATTATCATTAGAAAAAAGTTCTTAATAATTTCGTAGTTTTCAGCGTGCTGTATGGAATGAATTCAAGGAAAAAACGCTTATTCCATGCCTCGAGAAATATGAAAAAGAGCTAGCAGACAGGATGTTCCTAGTTGGAACAAACGTTAGTTTCCTTAACGCGTTTTTGCTCTGCACATTCAGTAAAATTTCAATTTTTCCCTTTCAGATTTCTTGGGCTGACATCGCACTGATCGAAGTACTTACTCGATTGCAAAGTTGCTATGATAGCTTTTATCTAGCACATTTTCCGGTACTGAAGGAATATTGTCACAGATTTGAAACACTTCCGATTATGCGGCCATACATCCAAACCAGGCCTGAAACACATTTCTGACCTCTTTGCATCAGCAAATTTGTAAATTTCAATATAGTTGTGGATAGTGATAATATTTTCATAATCGATAGGTAATTAGGAATCGTTAGAGATTATATTGAAAACCATGCTGAAATTTTGTAGCCTATAGTAGTTCGATGTACAATACACAATGTATATATACAGCGTTCCTGTCTCTTCCAAATATTTGATCTTAATATCTGCTGAATTATTTATGGAGAGGCACTACTTTCTAGTTCCCCTTTTAATCATCATTAATGCAGCTACAAATTCATTTCTGCAAAATGTTGCACTGATATATGTATTATGGCGAATAGTGTAATTTTCCGTTACAAATGTGTACATCTGTTGTTCTTATGTACAGAATTTATTTCTGCTTAATTGAGCTAATGCCTTACTCAATCAGACAAATATTCTTTATTTTGTTATTACTGCAATATAAACTTGTGCTTCTATAACTATATCGAAGCTCTTTTTCAGGTGACAGAAGAATTCAGAGTGCTTTAGGCAGAGGGTTTATCGGCAAAAGTCATGTTTCCACAGACTCATCTATCTGCGACATAATGAAGTTCCAGTTAGCTCCGTCAGCGGATTAGAAGTTAGATTAGAGAATCAAAAAACACTGTCTTTCATCTCTAGTACAAACAGGACAAAAAAATGTTAACAGATAAACTTCAGATGGATGCTTTGGGTACACAGCCAAGCATTTCAGTACAGCTGGTCGTTTGTGAGCGAGGTGTTCGATAGCAAAGATTACCCGATCTACCAGTCATCAATGTTGGAAATAGGTGTAGCGGTTTGACTTTAAAACAGGATATATAAGAGGTGGAAAAGTGGGAACCGCGAGCAGAAGAGGAGTAGAAAGTGCTGAATAGAAGCCAGACTTACTGACCAAGAATAGCCCTGGTGGAGGGTCAAATCGGAGGCTTATCCTAAATACCAAGATGTAATTGTAGTCCTTGTTTATTGTTGGCTTCAGAGCCGTGTTGTTGTTCTGTCATTTGGATAAGCACACTGTGTGCTAATCTTTCAGCCCCAGGGCCCGTAGTAAACCCCTCTTGGTTGTCACAACATAGAGGGACTATGTCATGATAGCTCGCAGTGTCTCGCAAGACTATAGCGAGCTATCCGCAGGGCGCCGCAAAACGAGCGTCTCCGCGTGTCATCGAACCACTGATGACCGCGATAACAGCGCGCATTCGCGCTGCGCTATAGGTAGCCATGTGCTATAGAGCATTTGCAAACAAGGCAAGACTGCGCAAGGCTTTTCTTGCGAGAGTAGGTAAATCAATCAGAGGAAATCCAATAACAGACCATCCTTGCGTGAGCGCGCCTATTTCTCCATTTTTAATTCTGTATCTTATGTTTGCATGCATTGATAATAGGGTAACGCAGTTGATCTCCGTCTGTTACAGAATAATGCTTATTTTTGCGCACCGTGCTGTAAGAAGGAGCGCCAATATCCGCTACGGGAGGCTGCACCCTATCCGACTTTTCCATCAAAACCAGCGGATATTGGCGCGGAAGTTTCGAATGGAAGAGCAGCATTTGAAGAGAATATGCCGACTGCTTGCACCGCTGATAGGAGGGCGTGAAACTCCAAACTGGTCCGTTAGTTTGGAGAACAAGGTCAGTACGATTTTCCAAGATTTGCTCATCTATGGTTTGTGTTACTGAAATGTTAATGTTATGCACATACGCGTATGACGCAATTATCTCGCACGCATGACTCAAACATGCAGAAGATTCCTAGGACACACGTGTCTGTTAGCGCAGTGCGTGCGAGCGGGGGTTTGTCGGGGTATCTTAGGGGATCAAATCCTGCACGGGGAAAATTTTTGCAAACAAGCAGAGATATGTCTGAGTAGATGTTCAGCTTGTTAGCTTTAAGAAAGGCTTCTTAACTTAATATAAAACTAAATGTCTCCTCATTTAGGTTGTCATTGCTCTTCGTTACTTGTCAACCAACGCTCACCAAGAGGTTTTGGCGGACATCATTGGTGTCAGCCAGAAAACAGTTTCGAATGCGGTGAGAGTGGTTGTCCGCGCTCTCAACCACCCCCTAATCGTGCGGCACTTCATCCGCTGCCGATTAGGGGACGAGCAGTTCTGCCGAATGAATGCCGACGCCTTCGCCCGAACCGGAGCATTTCCGAACATCATCGGAGCCGTTGACGGAAGCTGCATACGGTTACAGAAGCCGGCACATTCTGGCTGGCAGTACTACTGCCGCAAGGGCTTCACAGCCCTGAATGTGCTGGCTGCTGTTGACGCCCGCGGACGGTTTATGTACATAAATGCGAACTTCCCGGGGTCTATCCCGGTATCAGTAGCGTCATTCCGTGCCAGACCGTGCCAGGTCCGTGCCAGACCGTGCCAGGTCCGTGTCAGCTGTGTTCTGAGAGGGGCAATGCAATGCCTTCATCTGCGAGGTACCCTCAAAGCCGGAGTCTCTCCAGGTGGTGGTTTCGGCTATTTTTGACTTGAAAGTCATCAAACGGAGAGTTTTTGAGCAGGGAAATACTATTCGTAAGATGGGAACATATAGATCGACATGGACCGTCTCTTTCTTTCACCTCTTCTGTGAGTTTAGATACGAAGTGAAACTGTCTGCAGAACTAGTGATTTGGGATCAGTTTGGGTTAGAGTTCCGAAACGAAGGAAAGCTAGCGAAAAACGGTCTAGGCTTATTGGCAAACTCTCGTGTGTTGTATAAGAATTAGAGAACCCGATATCTTTATTCATTTTTCAAGTGAAAACAATTATGAGATCGTGAGATTCGCTTTAGTGAAAAATGTCCAATGCTCTAATCTCGGGAAAGATCCATTAATAAGAACACAAACAATGCATAATGCTTAACTTTGAAAATTACCCTCGAATTGTAAGCAATAACGTGATATCGATGAATACCGTATAAATGCAAATAAAATCACAAAAACTTGAGCTCTAATTGTTCTTGTATACTGTAAAATTTGGGTGCTAGTGTTGAGGAACCGTTTGAGAAGACATAACCATGTCCCGATACCCGCAACACCGATTCCCTTTTACGAAAAAGTATTTGAAAATTTATCAAAATGTTCATGACTCAAAAAATTAGCGTACCTTTGAAGAAATTCTTCACATCCTCAGTTGTTGCAGAAAATGGTAGACCTCGAAGTCGAATCACTTTGCCTTCATCTGTGACAAGGCCAGCGCGCTTGAGGTTCGTGAGTTCATCAATTGATACGGTGAAAACTGCAAATGTTCCCATTGGTATGCTCATCCATCTAGCTGCACACTGTGCAGATGTGCACGCTCCATAGAAGCGCTTTTTGGCAGAAAAAAAACTACTGACATACAAGCTTAGGTAGGCGCCAGACTAACCGATTGCTTGCTTCAGCAGGACGCGGCGCATTAACTGTCACTTGACGTCACTTTGTAGGGCCGGTATGCGCGATTTCCAAACAGCAAAAAATTTTTGCTGGCAGGGCCTCCCTATCATTCTCTCATTGCGAGGCTTTTTTATCATCCTTCAGATCTGGATCTCAACAAGGTCAATGAAGTAATCAAAACTTTAAACGCAAACATGTAGGCGTTGATGATATGAGAATGCGATGGTATTAACGCCTTTCTAGTCCTTCCAGTACATATAACGGAAGCTCCGAAGATACCCTACCGAAAGTACGCTAATAAGAAGATTTCAGGAATGCGATTTTCAGTTCCTCCTCTTTATCCCCCTCCGCGTCCTCCTACTATGCTTCCCCCCATGGGACCCATACTATTCCTGTGATTCCTGCAATTCCTGCGTTTCCTGTTTCTGCGGGTCCCGCAAGATGTATATTGCGAAAAAACAATGTATAATGGAATTTGCAAAGCACTCTGCAATGCGGCACATTGGAAGTTGGGAAATCACCGGAATTGCAGAAATACAAGAATCGCGGGAATCGGCTCCTGGAATAGTATGACCGATCCCAACGGAAATGAAGTGATTCATAGACCAGAAAGTAAAGCAAAAATGATAAGTAAAGCTTAAGACATACAGATAAAGTGTCGCAATAACATTAAGAAGTAGAACTAAGAAATCCACTGCCTACCTTTAGCTGCGACTCCCATGCAATCGATTGATTTCCGATTCTTGCTTCCTACCGATATGGTGCGCGTAAGCTGGCTCCTGTAAAAGCAGCAATAGCACTGTTTAGAGATGAATTACGACAGTAGCGAGAGTTACGACGACAATTACGAACAAGAATCGCAGCACATTGACATATTGGTATGAAATTTCACTAAAAATCTCATACAAAATGATACGGAGAACCGTTTCCAAGTGACCCTCGGACTGAAGATTACCCACACTACACAAAACTGCGAAAAAAACATAAACAAATGGCCTCCTACGACCTTCTCGTCTATTTCCGGCGTGACGTCATGCGTCACGCCGCGCAATCGGCGTGAGTGCACAAACAGGCGCCACCCGACGGCACAATGCTCCAAAGGACGTTAAAAGCTTATATGTGAATATTGTGGAGCAAGCTATGCACAAGCTGATAGAGCTTTTTTAGCCTCATCAGACTATGTAAAGCTTGCGCACCTTTTTGCTCTCCTCTAAAAATCAACCACAATACGTCGAACAAAGTGATTATGTAATGAAAACTGCCACACTGCAGAAGACGAATTTTAGATTCATAAGCGACAATGATGATACACTGTAACTTTACATGAAGAAAAAAGAAAAAACGTACAGCACGCTACATGCAGAAGAACAAAAAATTGGGCTGGATAAGCGAGCTGTGCGCATGCACAATTGATTAGTTCTACTTTCTCCACTACGGTAGTGACGGCCGTCTGCATTGCGACCTATTACGAGGTTGGCGTAGTCGAGCTCTAGTCTTGCGCTATGTCTCTGCGTCTCCATACTGAACAAAGTATTTCGTCTTCTTGTACGTCACCACATGTCGCTAGATGTCGCGATATGTGGTGACACATAGCGACAAAGTGCGAGCACCCTGACGCCTTGCATTGATTGCATCCGGCGGCAATGGTAAAGGATAGCCGCTTTGCCTGCCTCGCAGCACATTAGTCAGCACATGTCACAGCAGGCTCCGAGCTATACGTCACGACAACCGGGGGGTTTACTACAGGCCCAGGTTAGCAACCACTCAGCACCATTAAACCCTCCTTACACAAGCGCTATCTTACAAGCTCCATTTTCTTGCTCTAATTTTCGGGTATGTATGCTTGCATTTACCGCACAGCACATGGTAACTGATGAGAAAAAAACTGAGTTCCAGGAATGATTTTGAAAGAAACCTACACCTCGATCATAACAACGATACTTGCCGCGGCTCCGCTATGCGAGTAGCTCCTCGAAATAGCGAGCCGAGAGCCTGGTCGCCGTACTATCGGTTGGTCACTACTATTTTCGCGGCTGGACCTCTTCCGCTGGCGTGCTGCGAGTGGAGGGCTACAGATAGCCGCGCCTAAAGCGGCTGTATTCTTCCCTCTGTTCATTGTCTTTTCGAGTATTTCTTGTTGGTTATGCCGGCAGCATCTGGCCAGCTCCCGCATGGGTGTTTTGAGTAAGCGATCAAGCAGTTAGTCGGAATTTGGTTGAAGGGTTCGTTTGTGGTTTGATAATTTAGGCAAGTATCATCCGCGGGGGCGAGAAGGGCTATACCGTTCCATACGGACCAGGCGTCATGCAATGGACATGAGAGGAACTCTGAGTATTTGAGTGGAGGAACGGTTTTTTTGGGCCATCAGTAGGCGCGGTACGCGGCTCGTCATCGCTGTGAGGTTCCAGTAGTTCTAATTTTAGTATTAAGTTTAGTGTGGTATTTCTTGTGTTATTTAAGAGAAAATTATGCATCTATATTATTCGTGTGTGACCTCTTGCGTTCTAGTGGCGCTCGTATGAGTACACGGTTGAGGGTACTTCGCGGCACGGTCGTGCAGGTATGGGCCCAGTTTGGTCGCTTGTAACGTCTTAGGAATTACGGGATCGAGTCGCATACTGGCGAGCGGTAGAAGGTGAGGGGATCCAATGATTCCGCATTAGGCCCCGGGCAGACTTCACGCGATTTGGTCGTCGCGACTAAGTCGCGACGAGACAACTGTTACAACATCATTCCATGCCGATCAACTTGCATTCGGTTGTGATACTTATTCAGCCCGACATTTTTGAATGTGAAATGAAAATGAATGGAAATCTTGGCGATTAGATCGCGACGATTAAGTCGCGTGAAGTCTGACCGGGGCCTTAGCCGAAAATTCACATCGCTACGAGCCTCGTCATTGACTCAAGAGATTATTAGCCATTGCAGCTCCAGCTGGTTTGTGTTTTTTGCAAAAGACGTTCAGCTAACGTTCTATAATTAGTGCGGCAGAAAAGCATCGCAAATCTGGCCGGCGGGGCTATACATAGCTCCTTTACTGCTCAAAAGTATTGGGTCATTTCAAAAGTTCGTCAAATTATTTTTGAAAAATCGTAACTCTCTGCTATCTGCCTAGATTTGCCTGGGGTAATTTTTTCTATAATGAAGAGATCATGTTGTTTCTAACTATGGCTTGAATTCGTTCTACCAGGCACAAGTCGCAGAGTTAAAAATCAAAAAGAAGACCACTTAATTGGTGTTCATTCCAAAAATGCTCACCAAAAATCTTAAAACGTTACAAAGAATACCGAAACGATCACAAACATATGTATTAAGATCTCATCTTTCTAGCTAGGCAAACTCCTGGCTCAATGAAATTTTCTACGAAAAGTAAGGATTTTCAAGAGTTTGCGTATACGTTTTCACGAAAATCAAAATTGCTTTCGATTAGCACGAAACTCCCTTAACTAGAAAGGGGAGGGCATAAAACCCATGTTTATAATTTTTTCTCCGCTGTGGCGTTCTCAGGTTTTTTGAGTGTGCACAAAAATTGCAAAATTGAATTAATTCTCTTCAAATGCTTCTAGCTCGTGAACTATCTTGAAATAATCTATGAGAAAGGTGACACTGTAATGTGCAAAAATTTCTCTTTCAAATAATAGTTTCAGAATTTCTCGTCCTGCTTGAAAAATGCCAATGTTGAGTAATTGCCTTCAGTTGCTTCTAACTCTCAAACTTTCTCATATTAACTCATGCCAGAGGCACTGCTGTAAAAGACATAGACCTTTCTTTCAAATAAATATAATTTCGAGAAAATCCATCAAGAAAGAAGGAAGTTATGATTTTTTGAAAAACTGGCGAACGAACTTTTGAAATGACCTAATATATGTGAACTGCTAAAAAATGTTCAAAAATTACTTTTACGTTTATTTGGGTACACAATTTACATACACAAAACACATGGTACACATAACAGGCCAGTACACAGGTTTGTGGCAGTAGTCGGAAAGTACCTTTTTGACGATGCAACTATATCCGGCGATTGAGTGGAAAATCTAGGCAAAGAACAAGTTGAAGTGGGGTGAAATGGATAATTGTAGCTTTAATATGAACTTGTTTTGCTTGTTTGTTGGTTTCAATGCCAGAAGGTGCTTATGGTGTGGTTATACGTATATGAACAGAAGTGAAGTGCACTTCCAAATTTTACATGAAATAAGTCTTAATTGAAGCGAAAGTGGTTTTTAGTTTCTAGACCCTCTCCGGGACTCCTCAGTGAGGGAAGAGGGTCTAGAACATTTAATTGCCAGATATTTCATATGAGAATTCCTAAAATTACAAAACCAGAGTGTTTGCTTGATAGCCAGGTTCTGGGAAGATACAGAACAATACTCTTTGGTTTAGGATTGCTGTAAACCTCCGTAAACTTTTACATTGAAGCTCTATGGATGATGGGAGGTAACAATTTGGAGTCGGCTAAATTTAACGTCTTTGTTTGAAAGGCTTTTTGAATTTTTACTTTTTGTTGCATCAAATTTTGCCTTCGGAATAGAGCACGTAGGGTTCTATAACGCAAAAATTAGCAGAAACATATGTTTGTCTGTTTAACACATCAGAGGACCTCTCAAACGCGCGCAAAAAATAATTTCATCCTATTATCAATATTGGCAACTAAGCGGCATAATAGGACAACCGTATAAGGACATATGGTGACTTCTTGACATTAATTATGATCGATGTGTTCCTTCCAGAATTCTAAGACCTTACCAAACAAGGGCATGTCGAATACTCGCGAATCGGAAGGCCAATTACGCGTGTAAGGTGAGAAAATAAGGTTCGAAGTGGGGCTCAACCAAATAATTCTCGCTCGTAGCTAATCGTTCCAGTTCACAGTTACACCTAACCTCGATACTTCGCAAATCTTCAGGTACCCGGAAAGACGTAAAAAGTAGTTAGAACCGTACATGCAACTCAGTTTTTTTGCCGGTATAATAGTCCGCTCATTCATATGACGACTAGCTTTTGACGTCAACTTCAGCTAGTTTTCAAGTGTACTTTACGTGGTTCTTGAATGCATAACGTACAGTCTCTTTACAGCGGTATGTCTGTCTCTTTCATTCGAGGTCACTTTTGTCCTAAGGACAGCTTCTATTCGTTTCTACAGTCTCCTTTACATCTGCATTTTAGATGACTTCCTGCATTTCCATTGCCTTTCACCACCATTTTCAGAACCCAAACTTCCTTCATTCCATTTGAGCTTCAAAAATTTGCCCTAACCTCTCTCAGTGATCAAATGGAACCTTAATTTATTATTTTAGCAAATGGCACTGCTTTCCAATCTCTGGCGATGGAGTGGGTCCCCAGCTGTAGCGCTTACTCTATCGATATCTGCTATTCTCTGTGCCACAGCTCTATGCCCACTCATTCTATTTCAAACCCTTTATGCCCTTTCGCACATCGAACAACAGCACTGCCCGGTAGGACTTATTTTTTGTTCAAAATTTTGTAATACTGGCACTAAAGCAAGGCACGTAGTTTAAATGAGGTCATGGATGCGTTTGAGAGACTGTTGGCTTGTAAATGCGCTAAAAAGATTAGAATCTAGCCTTCGAACTTCCGTAAATGGCGTCATGGGTGTCATTGGTTCGTTTGAAGTATTATTTGGTTCATAAAAGTACAAAAAAAAAGCTAGAATCAAAGCTAGTATGAGTTTAGCCGTTAGAGCAATAGCGAGCACCGTTACTCATGTGATTAAGTCTTCTCAGAAATTGTTGATCCGTGAAAGAGATGTCCGATTTTACTAGTTTTCCATAAGTATAACAAAGTGTACAGTATCATTAACTGAAAGCCGTTTCATAGGTGCGATAGGGGGAGCCGGGCTCCCCCTAGGGGCGGGGGGAGGAAGGGAGAAAAGGTAAAAAAGAGTGGTATGAAGAACTCTAATTTGTACCTTATTTAGGCACAAATTGAAAAAAATTAAAAAATTTCAAAAGAAATTAAAAATTTAAAAAAATTGACATGAAGATCTGTGCTCCTGTTTCATTGCATCAACAAAAAACGAAAGCAATAAGGTTTATCCCAAAAGATGTACAAGTTAGGAACAACTTCAATTCCTGCACATCATCATCAACAATATCACTATCGCTAACGTCAGAGACAACAAGTTCGCTGCCTGAAAAATCTTCTTCTTCCTCCAAAAGGTCATCGGAGTAGAAGTAGAATTGCGTGCAAAAGCGTTCTGAGTCGAAAATGGATTTGAAACTTTCTTCTTCTTCTAAGCGCTTTTGTGATTTTTTTCCAGGCTCTCTGGTAGCACCAGGAAAATCAGCAGGTAGGTGACCAGTTTCTTCATACCATCATTTAGTATATTTCAAAAAGTCATACGGTAACAGCCTGTCTGGACCACTTATACCAATCCTTTAAATGAAGTTTTCAGATAACAATATGTTTAGTAGAAGGTTGACAAACCTTAAGTAATTGCTTGGATGCTCCATCGTTGTACGACTTCTGCGTTGTGTTCTGATAACAGAGTAGATAGAAAATTTCTTTCTCCACCTCTGCCGTGCTAGTCGGAATGGAAACTAGTTTTGCCAGTAAGTCCATCAGATTTGTGCGGTAAGTAATGGGAAAAGAGCCAGATCGCATATGCATATGCTTTCGCAACACGGGAAGGAAATAGTGCATACTTTTTTGGGCGTTGTCGAACTCTGGTTTCACCTCCTCTGGCATACGTCCTGTTAGCTGATGAGAAGCTGCTCAACTTTTTCTTTAATAGCATCTGCGGAATAGCCGAAAAAAGTAGATACTATGCTGCGCGTTTTTTTCAATATCATAGGTCATAATGTCACAAGGCGAATAACTTCCAAAAGCATAAATCACAGAGTTGGGTTCGCACTCCAGTCGGAATCTAAGAGCAGCAGCTATGCTTTGTACTAACACCTTCCTTTTGTTCATATCCGTGTTTGTGAATTTAGCAGCCTTGAAATCTTCAGCAACCTGAAGATCAACAATGGACTTTCTGGACATTTCCTCATTGAAACTAGGCAGTCTGCTTGGATTCATTATGTAGGAAATCAGAGAGTTTCGTTCAATTGTCAACTCTGTATCAATGTCGGCAACATTTTCGTCGCCGTAAAATTCTCCTTCTGCCTGGCTGTGGAACTGGAACACATGCGAGTCATCTGCGATTTTGTAAAGTAATCTGCCTGCCGTTTCCTCTTCAAACTGCCAACCTTTCCAAAACATTGAGGGATATTTTAATAACATGTTATTCTTCTGAATGTCTTAAAGCCTTGATTCATTGAAACAACCATTCTCTACAATCAGCTAAGGTGAGTCTGGAGCGCTTTCACGAAAGTGACCTTCTTCAGCACTAGGTTTACAGAGTATATAGTCCAGAAATGGGCGGGTTTTTGTGTGAAGGTGTGGAAATTCACCAATCTCCCATAGTTTTTTGAGTGTGTGCCAATAATGATAGCATAACTGTCAATCAAAAGCGCATTTTTTACCAAAAAAAAAAGAACATATAACAACGATAAGCACGCGCTTAGATAGACGCGTTCGCTCACGTTTCCGTTAGTGCTGATAACGATGTCAATCCACAGCACATTTTTCAATATTAACTTGCTCCACCTCGCTCTTATTAGGGCGTCCCGAAAGTTTTTGCGCACGATTTTCAAAAATTCATAATCTGTGATTTTTTCAACCGATTTGACTGCTTTCACTTTTATGTGAAAGGGTAAGTCATGCTCTTTATAAGGACATCTCAGCTGTTTGGCAATGGTCATCTGTTGCATAGATAGGAGCGATAGAAGAAAATTGGTCAAAATTTGAATTTTCTGTGTAGGGTCATAAAAAATCGGAGACTTGCAACAAAAATCGGAGCAGTCAGTATTGTAGGTTCTTTCACCAGCTCTTTCTAACAGTGCAAAGTTTGCGCCGATTGAACGTCTCTATGAAAAGTTATGATTTCCCTGAAAAATGCCAAAATAAACCAAGTTCGCCCTTTCGTATTGCTTGCTCGAAAATCATAACTTTTCATAGAGACCCTCAATCAGCGCAAACTTTGCACTGTCAGAAAGAGCTGGTGAAGGAACCTACAATACTGACTGCTTCGATTTTTGTTGCAAGTCTCCGATTTTTCATGGCCCTACACAGAAAATTCAAATTTTGACCAATTTTCTTCTATCGCTCCTATCTATGCAACAGATGATCATTACTAAGCAGCCGAGATGTCATTGTAAAGAGCATGACTTACCCTTTCACATAAAAGTGAAAGCAATCAAATCGTTTGGAAAATCAGAAGTTATGAATTTTTGAAAATCGTGCGCAAAAACTTTCGGGACGACCTATACAATGAGTTGGCTTTTATGGGTCACCGGAGCAAATGATTTTTAGAGCCGGGAAGCAAAAAAGCCCTAACATGCTTTATACCATTCGAAAGCTGAGATCATGGAGAATCGACTTAGCCCGTCGGCTTTTTTCTAGGTCTTCTGTGTCGCGAGATATGAGGGATTTTATGTACCCCAAAAACCAACTGCTTTTTTGTCCTCACTTCCTGCTCTCCAAATGAATGCTACGAGGATAAATAAATAATATAAATAAACATGTATAACGTTTTTTTTGTAAATTTATGAATGTACTTGTTGTTTGAGGTATTTAGCCTGCAAAACCTTTTAATAACAAATTTTATCATACTCTGAGTACAATACCAATCTCAGCCCAGGTGAAGGGGGTCATCGGGAGTTTGGCCTCAAATTGAAGGGGGTAAGATCCATCACTCCCCCTACCGCAACTATGAGCCGTTTGCAATCAATAGCTTTGAATATCAAGTTTTATGAGAAGACATAGGTGCGATGTCGTTGCTTTGGTTCGAAAAATTTTAGCTCACTAAATCAAAAATTTACTGAGAAACTATATACTTGGAAGCTTCAAAATACAGGGTGTCCCAAAAAAAATGTTAACACTGTTTGATCGTTAATAACTTCGTTGCTTGCATGTCTTTCGCCGAGTTTGAGGCACCATTCTGTAGAGCGAGGTTCAACTTAGATTTCTAGTATGGAGTGAATCACCGGTCTCTCTTCGTTACTGTAGGATTATGGTATGAACTTCTAGCATGTGAATTTGTGAAATATGCCATTTGACAAAATTTTTTTCGAAAAATCTGAAAAATCGTGTACTAGGGTTTTTGCTCACACTGATTCCACTATACAACTTTTACGAGTATTTTTAGCTTTTTTGACGGTGTAATCACATTTCTGACAAATACTGGGAATTCGGTTATTACGATTTACCTGAGATAACTTTGGAAAGAAGCATCACAGTAGAGTGGAAATTTTATATTCGAAATCAGCGGCTTCCATTACCATAGTATAGGAGTTTTTGGTCTGTTTGGTTTTCTTCCGAGGCAGAATATGGCCTTCAATTGCCTAAAATCCTTGTTGAATTTCCTACCGTAATCCTACAGTAATGAAGAGCGATCGATGATTCGCTCCATACTGTAGATCTAAGCTGAACTTCGCTTTATAGAGTGGTGCCTAAAGCTCGGCGAAAGACATGAAAGCAAAAGAGTTATTAACGATCAAACAGTGTTACATTTTTTTGGGACACCCTGTATTATTTTTCTTGGCACAATGAGATTTTCGAAGAAATACGCTAAGTACAGTAAATAACTAATTAGTATTAGATGTTCCAGATGCGCCTAGGATAGACAGATTTTTTAATAAAGGCATTGCAATTTTGCAATTATCAATCGAAAGTTAAATATGCGGTAGACTATGCACGCCTACATATGAGACCAGCAATACAGGGTGAGGCAAAAATCTGGGAGCCGACTTTACAGTGCTGTAAATTAGGAAAGTACTGATGATTTTGATCCCAAATTTGTGCCAAGTATTGCTGCGATATCACCGTCTACAAATCACGCTTTGTTAGCCAAAATGCTTGCCACATGTTTTTGTAGGAGTTGGATTTATCAAACAAGTGCTCTGCAAAGTGAGAAAATCGAAATTTTTAGTCTTAACCACCTTTTTCGTAGTTTAAGAATACAGAGGATATTCTAGAAAACTTCGATGCACACAATGTAGAGGAGTGTTTGCGCTATCAATTCGTAGTAGTTGTCAGATACTAACCCTTCGAAAACGCAAAATAAAAATTTGCGAATACTACCTGCGTGCCAGTGGCCATTTGTCTTTAAAATAAATTTGAAAGCAATAGAAGCGCAACAGGCACTGAATTTTGAACTGTTTTTTTCCACTAGTCTTCTGTGCTAGCATCTACTTAAATTTGATCGATTGAGCAATTTCAATACTTTCCAAATCATGATTTTTCGCTCCGTTCGCGCATTCGCATCCACATTCCCAGTATACGATTACATCTGCCTTTACCTAAAATTCCAAAACTTTTTCCTAAACATTGCAAAAAAATCGTTCTTGCATAACTTTGCAGCCAAAATCTTGCTCTATCATATCGCAAATTT